CATAGACTTTTTACCAGATATCTATTTGTTTCGAAACTTTAACGTGTGCTGAACATGTAAAAATGTATACTTTTCATGAGTTTATTGTAGAGAGAATGTGACGCATATTTACGTTTTGTTTTCGCTTTTCGTCTGAGTGCGATAAAATATCAAAAAGAAATAGAATTATTGTATTTTATGTATAATTTAAATTTGTTCCTCTGTACGAGCATCAGTCAAAGAGTTTTATCGTCAGTTGGCACATTTGTCTTTCTAGAAAACAATCTCTGGCAAGCTAGCACGAGTAACAAAAAAGTCTCATGAGAGAAACACATAGGTCGATGGAATCAATCTGATTTTGCCTTATTCATAAGTTATTACCTAATTGTAAATCAATCAGGAATAGTAATATGAACGGCATTCATAAGAATTGCATTTCTTTCTAGGAGAAGCTAACAGAGGTTATCTTCTACTCTAACATCTTTATGTGAATGATATTTCGGGAGAGAAGATTTTAATACTTCACTTCTGATTTTTGTGCTGTATATTATTTTCTAACCAAGCTCTACAATGCAATAATGTCCAATGATTGCCTTGTAGCAGATGCGGTAGAAAGAATGAGTCTCAGTATTGTCATCATAACTCTTTCAAATTTCTTCTTTTCAAGAGAAGTTTATTTCCTAGATCTACTCTACAAGTCTATGCTAGACATGTGTCGAAAGCTTTTCTGAAGAAACATTCAGCTGGAATATTCGGCATGCCAAAAAGAGCAAACTTTTGAAGACTGTTCGAAAATAAACTTTAGAATGTCTTTGACACTAGTAGAGTGTCGATGTCATTTTGAATGTTGCTGTATATCTTTTCTTCACGCAGATCAACACGCTATCCAGCGCGATGACACTCAAGTTATAGCAGAGATGAAAAGCAAAGGAATGTTGGAAAGGATGAGAATTCACGAAAAAGTGTCCGAGCATTTCAAGCTGCTCTCACAATTTCGCAAAATCGATTTTGGTTTAGGTATATTGAAATCGTATGAAACTTTCAGAATATATTGAGACTGTACGCGGGAAGCTGCGGAAGATATTCAACAAACAAATGTGAACAACGGGTTATCTGGCGGCCTAAAATTCTATGTAGCTCTTCATTCTATACATTGAATGTTTTTGTAGGAACACGCATGTCAGAGCTCATTTTTCGTAAATTTTCACCTTTTTAAGCAGAGAATAGCGATGATAGGTCTGTAACACAATATACCACGATTTTTTTCAAAGTTTTTTTGGAAACGAAATTATCATGTCTTTCCTTCACTTAATAAGTAAGGATTAAAAAAAGTTCTGCACTGCACTTTCTTCTGACATGTTCTTTTGAACAAAAAGAGAAAAACCAAATGTACAGAAAGAAGATCTCCCGTAGCCTCTCCATTAAAGTCTTAATATATTCTGAAAATGTTGTGCAGTTTGCATGTGTCTGAGTCAAAGATGGTTTTAGACAAGGATGGGAATTCTTTGAAGTGTCCAGATACTTTTTGGAGTATCTGGATTCGTCTTCTATATAGCAATTATTTTTTTTTAGAACATAACAATGACAAAATTTTGTATCATTTTACAATTAATCATCGCATCTTTGGTGATCGAGAGAAGTAGACCTATGTCTAGTCCTGTGGAAACTTTTACCACATACAAACATTCGATTGAACTTCAGAAAAATGTTGCTGATCTCTGGTGGACAGTCGATGACAATGAACGCGAGATCACATTCGAATTACACATCAACACAACAGGCTGGATAGCATTGGGTATTAATCTAGGTAGATTTTTGTTTCTATTCAATCTTCAACTCTTTATTCATGATCTGATTGTATTCAGCAGGTGGTATGAAAGGGACTGACATTGGTGTAGGATGGGTTGATCAGAGAGGCAGTGTATATTTTCAAGTAAAAAAAAACAACCATCTATCTTGTAATACATGATCTAATTTATCTTTGTCAAGGATCGGTATGCATTTGCTAAAGAACGTCCTATGCTCGACAATACTACGATTGATTGGTTTGCACTTCAAGGTCGTGAAGTGAGCGGATGGACAGCTATTCAATTCAAACGTTTACTAGACACTTGTGATCTCATGGATGTTCCAATCAAGGTAATTTGATGTGTCTTGAAATAGGAAAGTCACTTCGACTATTGAGCGATTAATGGTGAGAATGACTATCAAACCAATGTAAACCCAACTTGCAAAAGTTACGAGTAAAACTACTATTGGCTTTGCCTGATAAAGTACAGCTAGTTTGTTTCAGTAGCTTTTCTTATGAAAAAAATGACCAGGTTAGGCTATCAAAAAACTGTATGACTAGCTGTTGACAGGATTTAATAGCAATTGAAACACGCAAAAATCCGAAATTTGTGAATTTACAGACATCTGCATTCAGAGTTCGGTCTGTCACTACTAGCTAGTTTAGCTTTATCTTACACATTCATGAAGTACGTGTTGAGTGCAAGTACAGTTTCGAGTAGTGAATACCAGTTTTTTTCCAGCAGAAATCAATCACTTTATTCAATTATAAGTATATAATCTATCAATATTTAGTCCGGCACCAATAAACTTATTTTTGCTTATGGTCTGACCGATCCTATTCCATCAGGCCCAAATGGTGAAATCTCTTATCATGAAAATCAACATGGTTCACGTGCTCTTTCTCTTCGATCATATACTGATTCACTATCTGAAGATACATTTGCTGGACTTGACTACTTCGATTTTCGTTTGAACAATGCATGTTACATTTCAATGCTCTATTGAAGTCACTATTCTTTATACGAATTTGATCTTTTCTTTCAGTATGTCGTTCCATCAACAGAGATGACCTCTCATTGTAAAATATATAAAGCTCCTAGTAATTATTCAGTGAAACAACATGCTATCGGTGTACGTATCATTTTCTTAAAATAACTTTAATTTTTGTTTTATTTTACATAGTATAAGATGATTATTGATTCTGCCAATCAAGATCTTGTTCATCATCTACTGATATATGAATGTGATCCAACAGCTCAATTTGATGATAATAACTTGCCTGACGATTTGTGTAATGAAATTTATCTACAAACAGCACCGTGTGCATATAATGGTGCCATTATTTGGGATGTCGGTGGTAATGATGTAAGATCAAAAATATTTTACGAAATAAGATATATAACCAAAAGAAAGCTATTTAAAATAGATAGTTGCATTTCCAGAAGAAGCTGGCTATCCAATTGGAGGTGATTTTCTCATCAAATATTATATGGTTCAAATACACTATAATAATCCCAATCAACTTTCGAGTATGAAATTCGATTGATATGAAAATAAAACTGTTAAACGATTTTCGATGTTTTACTTAGATCGTACGGACAGTTCAGGTATTCGCTTTTATATCGGTAAAGAACTTCGTCAACATGATCTTGGCTATTTGACTTTGGGCACTACTTCAACGCCGCATGCTCTGGCCATTCCACCTAAAATGGAGCGATTTATCATTGATTCATACTGTCCGGCGACTGCTACGATGGTAAATATGACTCTTTGTCAGTGTTTCATCTAAAAAGTTCATTATGGATATTGTTGTAGAACTTTCCGGAAGAGGGCATTACAATAGTTTCTGCGTTTCCACATATGCATTCGCAAGGTAAGTTTCCAATAACAAATAGAGGATGGATCTGTCGGCAACGACAAAGACTTTCCTAGGTCGAACACAATGGACAAAATTGATTCGAAATAAAACAGCTGTACAATATTTATTCAACGCAGAAGAGTACGATTCTAATTATCAGTACGAAAACCGTTTACCACAACCGATCAAATTATATCGAGTAAGATATAATCGAATTGTTTTCTATTCGAGAATCGATATTTCTTTTGCAGGGTGATGAACTCACTACAAGATGTATCTACAATACTATAAACAAGAATACGATCACTTTGGTAAGAAAGATTCAATAATAAACTGCTTTTTATTACACAGCAAAACATACCTAGAAATTTGATTGATTTTTTCAGGGTGGTGAAAGAGCCGAAGATGAAATGTGTCGTCATGTAATGAAATACTATCCTCGAATGAATAATATGTATGATTGTTTGATGATGAATAGTCCACAAATATGGAACTCAATGATGAACACTTCTTCGTCAGTTTATTTATATCGACAATTAGTTCTTAGTTTTATTGATGTGTATTTAGATCGTCTTTCAATGATTCTAAATTAATGGAATGGCTTCTTAATCTGACATGGACATCAGAGCAAGCTGTTCAATGGCAAGAATTCTACAACATCGCATCTCGTGTACTCTTATATGGTGCATCATCAAATCTTCAGTTCAAATTTATGTCCGGCTTACCCAAATATCAAGATTTAAAGCCGGTTGCATGCACAAAAGATCAAACCATTAATCAAACTACTTCTAGCCAAACAGCAACGATGAATGAATCTATATCATATACTTCACGAATTCGTCAAAACATAATGATTATACTAATAGTAATAACTTTTATCCCCGTCATATATATATTCATTTGTTCAATTCGAAAGCCGACGTTTAGTCGATTCACTAGATTTTATCAAGATGATGACGACAACTGAGTTTTTTGTACACTACATATATATATATATATATATACGAACCATATGATAAGTCATTATATGTTTAATATTTCTGCTAATTATCAGAACAATCTAATGTAATCAATTACACTAGATTGTCTTCCCCAGCATGTCTAATTTATAATACTTTCTCTTCAATTTGGATTTTTGTGTTCTCAGTTCTTCGTGATGAATTATAAGAGGCATGTATGAAATAGTCTTATTAAGTTCAAATTGTGTTGCCACAATGTGTAGTGATTCATGTACACATAATTGGTGCTAATTAGGAGGGTGCGTGTGTTGGCATGAGTCTACCTTTCGTCTAAATCGACAGCCATAACCACAGCCACACCCTACCTCATTCACATCTTCATTTTTCTCCTCTCACTCT